TTTGTCTTAGCAGCAGTTATGATCACAGCCATTGTTTTGTAGTATTCATGCTTCATACTAACAAATATATTCTCTGTTTACAGTAGACAATGTCTTTTTCATTTACAAGAAAATCAGAGTTATCTTATTTGAGACTTTGCCAGCTATTCAAGGGACCTGCCATTATCCTCCTTTTCTAAATGATATTTGACTGTTGAGTTGTTGAGCTTCATTTTCACGCTAAAGAAATCAGAAGCCTTTTTTGTTAACTTTTTTCCCTCCCCCAAAATAACCAACTGCAGTTTGTGTTATTGAATAATATGACAGGACCTTGATTTAGAAGCAGTCCAACCCCGAGCTATTATTCTGACCATTCCCTATGGCTAGTTAATCAAAACACTGCAACTTGTGACTTTGTCAGTAATTTTGCTCATTTATCTTTATTATGACTTCAAGAGTATTTTGAATGGAAGGTTAGTTTTGTATAACTAATATTGGTGATGAATGGCAATGATAATGCATTGCATGAAGAACATCCATTAATGTCTAAAATAATATTCTACTGTCTAAAAATAAATTGCAATGCAAAACATTTCCAGTGCTAATGAACAATAATTCAGTCCTATAAAAGTACTGCAACTCTGAGAAGTAAGGACCTTTAAGCCAACACACTCAAGGTAGTTAGGCATGCTGATTCTGACAGCTACAGTATTGATTCTACCACTAATTAACTCAAATTTTCAGGTCCCAATAACTCCAAAAGCACTAGCGTAAATCATCCAAACAAACAGCTATGAACTTTGGATAAAACATTTGATTGCTGCACATAAAAGGTCTGCTCATTCCATCAGCATGCAGCATCTTTACAGTGCAAATATTCTGCAGAAACCTACAGGAAAAAGGGAGTCTTCCTGGCACAGAAGTAGAAGCACTCTACAGCTGTTAACCTCTCCCTTGAAGAAAAGCATGGAAAAGAAAGCCACAAATGCAACTTTCCTGAATTTTCACCTTTTCCCTGAATTTTATTTCACCTGTTCCCCTATTCTGTTGTTCTCCCTCAATTTTTCTCCCCCCCCCGCCTTTCTCCTCTGTATGTCTATAAATAGCAGAATCGCCCAAAATACTACCTACATAATGCAAAACCAGCACTGGCTGTGCTTTGTTAACCTATCAAGAATTATCTTCCATTTTCTTTCTACTCAGAATATAAGCCTACCTTTTCCAGTATGTACTTAGTTAAGACTGAGAATGCCTCCTCAATGTTCACATTATCTTTAGCACTGGTTTCAAAAAAGGGTATTCCATGTTCCCAAGCAAGCTGAAAAACAAATGTAGGCAATAGGATGAACAGTCTTTAGGAAAACAAAACACTTCCTAATACTAATAGCAAGAGATATGGAGGTGTTCTGACAGCTTCTAACACTCTCTGAAAACACTGATTAAGTGTATTTCAGCTCAGTGAAGTACTCTATATTCATCCTCAGTTTTTAAATTTTGGGTAAGTCTTAAAACATTCTTCTTAAATTTCTCCATTTTCAAAACAGCTTTTTAAACCTATCTTTACTTGTAAATAAGAAGAATAAACTCTAGTGGGTCTGTTCGCAATGTTTTGATTTATTTGGAAAACGAACTGTCTCCTAGGCAATTATTTGGAGGAAACTAATGGACTATGTGCAGAAAAGTACAGATAAAAATGTGACAAAAAATTTAGAAAAAGAGGCGTGATGAAATACGAAAGAGAGATGCTCCTTTTTACGAGAGAGAGAGAAAATACTTAGAAGAAAAGGTCAGCATAGACTTTACATAGCTTAATTTCATTTAATTTACTCGTCCTCTCATTTCCAGTGTATTTCCCTTACAGTGTATTTCCCTTACAGATAGCTTAGAGATATGTTGGCATGAGGGAAAAAAACCCAAACCACATCAAACCAGAAAACAAAACCCCACAACAAAATTCATAGCTTTTTAAGGTCCTAAACTACTTCTAATTTATACAGTTAAATACATAGAGAAAAACAGCTGCATCATTGGCAAAGGGAGGGAGGCAAGGTGGGAACAGTATCTGCCAGAAAAACATAGTGGGAGAGTCTATTTATTCCCTTTGCAACTGATCTCTTCTTGGTATACATCTGGAGAAGATGATCCCAGGCAAAGAAAATACTGCTTATAATGTATAAAAAAAATCCTATAATTACTGACTATTTAATAATTTATTTGGAAGGTTCTCCATTAATATAAAAAGTCTAATGTTGGCAGTTATGTTTGCTTTCAATGAGCTCTAGAAGTAACAAATCAATGCATTATAAAAATTCCAAAATGAGGCATGAAGGTACAAGAATTGTCCTTCAAAGCTTTAGTCAAAATATAATAAAGATTATATTTGCAGAAAAAATACTAAGAGAAATGGTTTCTTTTCCAAAATGCTATAAGAAAATGTAATTTTGAAAATAAAGATGAGGCGCTGGAGATGCCCAGAGAAGCTGTGGCTGCCTCATCCCTGTAAGTGTTCAAGGCCAGGTTGGACGGGGCTTTGAGCAACCTGGTCTAGTGCAAGGTGTTCCTGTCCACAGCAGTGGGGTTTGAACCAGATGATCTTTAAGGTCTTCCAACGCAAACCATTCTATGATTCTATGATCTGGACTGTTTGTTAAGACAGTTTCATAAGGGATTCTGAAACTTGAGCTGGCTTCTATCAACAGTTTTCAGTACTGCAGCAACTTGTTACAGATAGTTAATATCATTTGACTATTGGCAAGTGTAAATGCACAATGATGCCTAATGGTTCATAAAGAAAAATACAGGCAATAAAAAATACTGAGCTAATAAACTGGAAAAGACTGGTTTGCAGCTTATACAGTACACAGAATCTGCTATTACATATACCTTTTTTCTTTCTTGTGACATGTAACGGATTCCTAGAGGCTACCTATGTACACACTTTGATCAACATAAACCATTTTAATCATGGAATCAGAGAACATTTGGAAAAATAACACCCTTCTTGAAATGGGAGAGCCAAAGCTGGACAAAATATTCCATGTGGCCTTTCCAGCACTAGAAGGGTAATAATTGTCCCAGATCTAACATCCATTAACCTTCTAATATAGCCCAGCATACCTTTAAGCAATGAGAGAACACTTTCAACTTATATTCAAGCTGGTACTCACCTTAACCAACAAGACGTTTGCAGTAGGGCAGTGATTCATGCCTGGGATTACTCCATCCCAGGTGTAAATCTCTGCATTTCTTACTGAATTTCATGATGTTTCTGTTGGCCCAGTTCTCAAGTTTATCAAGGTCCCATAGAATTGGTGTTCTCCCATTTGATGTGCCAATCACACCCCTTAACCTCATGCCATGCGCAAATCTCCTTGTATCATCACTGACGAAAATGTTGAACAATGTGAGCCCCACTACTCCTGATGTATTCTGCTCATTACTAGCTACCAACCAGACACACTGTCTTTGATCACTACCCTTCACCTCTGGATGTCTACAGCCAACTGTCAGTCCACCTAATGGTCCACTTTTCCAGCCCACAATTTCTAGCTTCCAACTGAGGATGCCATGGGAGGACAAAAACCTCACTAAATTCAAGACACATCACAATCACCACTATTGCCTTGTCCACACAGTTGTGTCTTGGCATCATAGCAGGCAACCAGCATGTTGAAGACACATTTAGGGACTGTAGTGACAAGACAAGAGGTAATGGGTTCAAACTTAAAGAGGAGAGAGTGGTAGGGCACTGGAACAGGCTGCCCAAGGCAGTTGTGAATGCTCCATTCCTGGCAGTGTTCAATCCCAGGTTGGACGGGGCTTTGAGCAACCTGGTATAGTGGGAGGTGTTCCTGCCCACGGCAGGGGAGTTAGAACTAGATGTTGTTAAGGTCCTTTCCAACCCAAACCATTCTATGATTCTGTGATTCTAATTTACCCTCTGTTAACCATTCCAGATTGTCTTTGTGTCCTTTATGTCCTTGGAAAAGAATTTAAAGACAACACACTCCACAATCCTTCCACTGACTAAAGCAAGACTGACTGACTACAGTTCCCTGAAATCTCTTCCTTGCCTTTTTTAAAGACAGGTGTCCTGCTGGCATCTTTCTAGTCAACAGGGATCTTTCCCAACCACCATGCTTTTTCAGAGTTGCCTGACACTGGCCCAAATCACATTGACCAGCTTTTTCAGCACAATTGGGTGAACTTCATCATGTCCATGGATGCATCCAATTTTCCTAAGCAGTTTCTAATCCAATGCTTTTCCACTGCTGGCTGACCTGCTCCTTCCCAAACCATGCCAGTGTACACAGAGGTCTGGGAGCAAGCTCAATCTATGAAGACCAATGCAAAACAAAAATCAAACCAAATAAACTTGAGTACTTTAGCCTTCTCTGTATCATGTTACTATATTGCCCGCTACACCCATCAATGCATCCTCACTTTCTCTGTATGTGTACAGTATTGATCAAAGAAGGTTAATGTATGTATCATTCCAACTCACCCTGCATACTGGTAAGTAGTGTGGCAAGCAAGTCCCCTAAAACTTTAGCTAAATTGAAAAAAAACCTAACAGTCCAGTGTTAAAGTAGGAAGTAAGAACACAACTTGACAACTCCCTCTCATAAAGAAACTGGAAAGGCATATTCAAGGAATTACTTTTTTTCAATTTGGGAGCATCTTGAGTAGATCCATAAATACAATACCTAAGCATATTTACAAACCTGTGAGAATTACGCTATTGGGAAATGTTATTTTATATTATCCTTGAGAACACTTTGGAGATCTTGAGTGAAATAAATTCGTATTTTACAATAACAAAGTAATGCTGAACCCAGGACACTCTGTCAAGGTGTGATTTAATTCCAATTATTAATTTCCTTTAACTCCAAATATAGCACTTCCTAGCAAAGTGCTGCTATGATTTTTAAAAGTGTTGAATCAGAGAGATGTATCTGAGATATTCCCAGAATTCTGCAGAATGTTCTTTTTTTTTACAATTTTTATTGTACCTGGAATATCAGCTTTGAAGTCAGGCACAAAAAGACAGCAAAAGCAAAAAAAAAAAAAAAAAGAGGAAAAATGTTTTACTTGGCTCTTTCTGTTAGAAAGATTTGATAAGAGAAAACTGGTCACAGCTACCAAGTCATATAAACTTCAGCGTTTTTATTTATTTATCAGAGAAAAAATAATATTATTGGGTGGGGAGCAGGTTGAATGCAAACTTTTGTTGAAGTGAATAAAAAGTTATTAATACAAGAAAATGCTTCATAGTGTTAAACATATCAATTTGAGTGATCAACATTATATAATTACAAAACAAACCAACAAAAAAAAATATTCTCAGCATTAAATTAGTTTATAAAGTGGTATATGATGGCCACTCAGTTATGACAGATTGTTACAGAAATGCCAACACAGATGATAAGGTTTCCAGGGAATCTAGGGGTCTTCTCTGCAAGACTCTGAACATTAAAAGAATTGGTGAGGAGGTAATGATATGTTTCTGGAAAAAATACCACATTAAGAGAATTTTTGATTGCATGGTTAAATACTAAGATGTCAGAAAATGTCATGGTTAATACCACATGCAAAACCCTACTACTGCCCTCTTGTGCACATGCATCCAGTGACTGTTTAGATTTCTAACAGTTCATTGAGTGAGAATACATGTCTTTTTCAGCAACCTTATTCCTTTTACACAGATACAGCACATTATCAGTGAAAGAGTCTTGCATACAAACAGTGAACTTTCAGAAGTTTCTATTTGTAATGCCGTTGAAAGGGTGATGGTATTTTTTAAAGTTTCCTAATCTGGGATTATATAATTGGCAAGAAGTTATTAGTGTTCTTTTCTTTACACACAGGCATCCTGCCTGACTCACTATGCCTGAAAGCATAATAGAAGGGTTCATTCCAAGTTCCAGACAACAGATTTATACAGTTTGCAGTTGCAAAATTCACTGGTATATAGGACGTGCTATCCTGCCACAGCATGGCTCCTAGACTTCCTCACTGGTTCTCAGTGACAGTAATCTGCCATCACCTTTAATTAACACCAGTTCTTCCCCTACACATGGTCAGCAGGTATAAACTACACCACAGTCTCAGCTGTATGACATCATACATAGATCTAGAGGAGCTGCATGTTCCCTAAATGTACTTAAATATGCAGTATTATTTAAGGTTCTTCATAGACCGTGCAGATCACAATGCACAAGCTGGCAGAACAGTTCTTTATAGGCAGGCTATAGCAAAAAAAAAATATTGATGGGTGGTACCAGAAAAATTATGCAGATCGTATTACCATTACATTTAGTATTCTGCATTTAGTATGCAGACTCTAAAATAGTTTTAATTCAAAATGTAAGATTCCTATCATAACGCCTAAAACTATTAAAGTACATTTTAACCTTTAAAATAAAAACCAGTGTTCTAAAGAGATCAGCTAAGAGTTACTTAATGTCTTTCTGTTCATATGTTAAAAAAAAACAACAAGCCCAATACTCCAAAACTCCTCAACTGTTCTTCTGTAGCAATTCCTAATGGAATATTTAGAATTCAGGAGCTTTTTGCTTTTTTCAGTGTAACAGCTCATAGTCACATACTGAGATACCCAGGAGAACCCAAAGAAAGTACCAGTGATACCTTTTCTCCTTTCTGTTTTGGAACTAGACGTTCTGACTCCTTATCACACTTGTTGCCCAACAGTATTACATCCACTTCGTCACCTGCTTTCTAAAAGAGAACCAGCATTAATAAGTGTCAAGTAAAAAAGAAAAGAACAAAAGCCCTTCACCTTCAGCTCACAGTAACCTTCAACACTTTATTTCCTTGAAAGTAAAGGCTAAATTCTGTTCTGATCTTTTCATATGTGGAAATATTTTCCATCAGTTAATGGGATTTGGAGGAAAACAGCAAGACAGCAACGAGCAGAAAAAAGCCACTTACAAACACGGGGCATAATTTCCTACTCCTTTCATAAGGTATAAAGTATACAGTGTATGGGCACCATCTTTGGAGGAATGCTCCATCTTGAGGCTTTAAAGTGACTAGAAATGCCCTGAATTCACAGACATTGCCCTCTCCTAAAGTAATGGGTTCATGGATTAGTGTTTGAGTCAGGCCTACATTCAGCACTCACAAGTAAAAAGGAAGGAATTTGCTGCACTTGAAAGAGCACCTCTCTGTGCTTCATATTTGCACACAGGCAGTAAAATTACATTCAAAGTGTTCAAACTCAACATAAAAGTTTGATTATTCCAAGGCACTCAGAAGAAGGCAATAGATTTCTAATGAAGTAAAATGTAAAAACCTCATTGATTTCAAAAGGAAGAAAAATCTAGCTTTTTGACCTTGTCTCCATCCTTCGTTCCACTCCAGTTACGTCCATGATGACTGTGAAATGCACTGGGTGCTTTACATCAGTGTTATTTTAAGATAAGCCATTGTAACGATACATGACTAGAATAACGGCAAGGAAAGCGAACAGTTCTGCAACAGTATGTGGAATTTGAAACTTACTTTTGTTGTGAAAATCATAACATTTAAAACTACCTTTGGTGCTTAAATGGAGAAAGCTGAGGGTCTCAATCTAGAGACAATTAAAGCTAATGCGGCCTAATCCCATGGTTTATATTCTGAAAGTACATGCTCAGCCAGCTTCTCTGATGACTCAAAAACCCTGGTCTCAGGCAGCAGATCAGTCTACAAGGATGTTGATGAAATCTCTGATCACTGTCAAAGTTTTAATTTTTGTAACTGCCGTAAGACAAAATCAGGCACAATCCCCTTCCTCAGAGCTCATACACATGTCCCTCCCTTCACGGAAATGCACAGAAAGACCTCTATTCATTAAAGGATGACAGAATCATTATTTTTAGTGTATTTGCGCTTTTATAACTAAGTTGCTTCATTTGAAGAATACAGCAGTAGGCACAATTTATTATTAAGAAACACCATTTCATTTGTTTTAATCCATTCTCATTTTAAAGTCAGCTAATCACATTTCAAACCCACATGTGATGTTCAAGATAATGTAGTATTAAATTGAAGGAAGCTTAGCATAAGAGTATGAAGCACAGGCTTAAAATAATGAATCAATCTAACCTGGATTAATTGACAAAAATGTTGGCTGTTTCAGAATGTACTGAAGCTTTACTCATTAAGGTCAATGGCTCTCCTACATAAAATCACATACATCAGACCCTAATATAGGGTAAATAGACAATTTCTTCTCATCACATAATCAACTTTTTATTTGGAAGAAGACTAAATGCATCTGAAGGTTTTACAAGTGACATTTGACTTTCCTCTAGAGTAAAAGGTCAAAGGGAAATACTTGCACACTGTGTGTACAAAACCATGAAATTCATCCTCTAGCTTTATTTCTGTACAAGCAGCACAATCTTTTGCAGTAGGTATGTTCTTTTTAAACAGCTTCAAATAATAACAAAATTTAAAGAATGTTAGAGGTACCAGGCCGTTCGCTAAGTATTAATCAGTACTATCAGTAACTAAGTATTTATTTCAGCAAATAACTATTATTTCTACATCGATATAATGTAATAATGCATTTTCACTTTGACTGGATCCTCCCCCAAAGCACTGAAAGCACTCCTTTTTTAAAGATGGTATCTTGCAGTTTCTTGCTTTTAGAAAACTAAAGACTATACACCAAAATGGCATCCATTTTAAAAGCTGAAAACTGGTTATGTAGATGAAAGCTTCAAAAATTAAGTCAATGTGACTAGGCAGAAGTTTGACCATGTGCTCAGTTGGCATAAAAACCGCAGAGGTACACAGATTTGAATTGGCCAAAAATATGGCTCTTCAGTGCTTCCAAAAGCTCAAGTGTATTTTCATCATCTTTTATTTATAGCTCAGGAATAAGCTTTCCAAAGGCAAAAATCCATAGCAAAAAGAGGATGGTTATTTTACAGTTGCTAAGATGCTATTATGCAAGTCAGCACTGACTAAGCTAATGGTGTCAGGAAACATTTTTTTCCCGTATCATGGAAAAATACTATTAAGAGTTTCATTAATTTCATCAAGGCAAAACCAACCCAAAATCCAATTGTTTTGTTTTGGTATCTCAAAAATACATCCAGATTTTTGGTTCACTCTCTTCAGTTTCTCTTCAGATTTTAACATTTCAAAATTAACATTTTATTGAAATTATTATTATTTATTAGTAGTATTTTAAAATTATTTACTATTCTTATTATTTTATTGAAATTATTTTTATTTTAATAAAAATAATCTGAACTCAAGAGGAAATCTAGCCTGTTTTGTTTTTTTTTTAAATGTCTCTAAAAAATTGGAGCCCAGAACTTTATTGAGACTGACCAAGTTTTTTTGAAGTGTTTGGCAGGCCTTGGAGTCATCAGGTTTTGGCAAAAGGGTTTTTTTTCCCTGCTGGATTCCCCAGTGGCAGAAACCAGGCTGCTGGGACCAGTGGCCACAAGAGGGAGCAGCAGCAGAGCCTTCAACGAAGTGGTGCCATGGACGAGATTAGGAACAGTGGACTCTGCCACCACAGTACCATGGTGTGCTTTGGCAGCTCAGTCTGATAGGAGCCATCCACCCATGCCTTTCACTAATTACTGTACTGCTCAACTTTCACCTAGCCTGGATACCCAACTTGATTGACTATGTGGCTATTAACAGAAATCAAAAATACAAAAAGAAAAAATATCTTGTTCATCCCTTTTGTATGTCATTTGTTGTGGGGGTTTGGGGTTGGTTGGTTGGTTTGTTTGTTTTACCCCAAATGTTTTTTCTGCAGTTGTTCTTATTTTTCAGAATTTCACAGAAATGCTGTCAATTCACCTATGAATTCATGCAGGGACATGGTTTAGTGGTGGACTTGGCAGTGCTAGGTTAATGGTGTGACTCAATGATCTTAAACGTCTTTCCAAATCTAAGAAATTTTATGGCTCTAGAAGTATCAAAAGCAGCACAGGCATCTTTATTGAAAAAGAACTACATTGTATTTGTACTTACACATTTCTGGAAGAACCTATCCCTTCACTTTCTGAATGGCAAGCACAGACTTTACTGTGAATAGCTGGCCTCGACCTCCCCTGCAGCAAACTGACCATAATTTCCAGCTTATCCAGACTTCTTGTTCTATAAAGACATCTATCCAGCAACAGATCTTAAAGAATCACCACTCTGTTTCACCACCAAATTTTCAGGGCATAGCTGTGCAGGGCTGCATGATTTTGATACTCATTGATTACAGTTTGAAAAGGGAACAGAAGTTTGTTTGTAGGTCAAAACAGCGAGACTGAGAACCCGCACCTAATAAATACACTATGGTAATAATTGGTTTGCATTTAAGGAAGAAATGCAGCATTGATACAATTTTTCAGATCTGAAGAGAATACACATGGTCACAGAGCAAGAGGAAGGCAGTGCTGGGGAAGGCCATAAAGCTGGGAAGTTTCTTCTTTCTACTTAGTAGACAATGACACTAGAAACTTACTCTTTGCACTAATGAAGAATAATCTGTTCGGAATACATTGTCTTCACATTCTCTTTGACAGCATCACATAAGCAGCATTCATATTATGACTCGCATGTCTCTTTGGGTGTATTTTTCTAAGTGCCACTGACCTCAGTTACAAATGCCTAGTTTCCAGGACTTCAGTGGAAATAAACAAATGATATAATTGGTTTGTCTATTAGCCACCTTAGGCATGACTAGATACAAACCAATTTATCCTGATACCAATCTGGGATTAGAGATAAACCAACTTAGTAAAGTGAGAAAAACAGCAATTTTCAGTTCTAATCAGAGCCATAACAAACCTGTCTACGAACTGGAACAATTCGATCCTTTTGACATCAAGCTTTCCCATCTGAGAAAGAAGAACTCAGAAGAATTTGAAGTCAAACTAATTTACAGTTGTAAAGCAATTTGCTGTGTTGCTTTTATTTAAGTATGATGCAGAAACTGAGAGACAGTCCAGTATATCAGCTCTCAGATGCATAAATGAAAAGAACCAGAAAAGGGCACTATGCAAAAAATGGCAGTGACCCAACACATCCATGCATTTCGTATCCTAGTTGAAAGGTCACTTCTACAGGTAGTACAAATAGAAAGCTAATGTATTCCAAGAACATTAAGTTATGTCAACCAAGACTCACTGCTGCATGAGAAAATTCTGTGCTAGCAGAGAATTTCCAGCACAGAACTAATTGGTAGAAACTGGTCATGCCACATTCATGGCCACCCCAGGAGACTAGCACAATGAAAACCAGTCCAATGTTTTAAAAGAAAACTAGGACCTACCATCTCTGTAAAAAGTTTTTGGAAACTCAGATGCCATGCATGAATCATGGAGTGATTTAGGTTGGCAAAGAATTCTGGAAGTCACCTGGTCTTACCCTCTGCTCAAAGACAGGCCAACTTCAAAGTCAGGTCAGGTTGCTTAAGGCCATGTTGAATCAAGTTTTAAGTATCTCCAGATCTTCTCTGGGCACCTGTTTGAGCATTAGACCACTCTATTGTGAGAAACTTTTTGCCAATGTTAGTTGGAATCTTGTTCGAAACATCTCAGAAAGCACTGTTTTCTGCAAATGAATCTAATACACAGTTACTTGCATTTAATTTCTAAACGCCAAACAAAACCAGCCTTTCAGAGCTGCTGCATACAATATCTAAAAGCTGTATCAACAAACAAGAGAAGCACCTTCAATTGGACATGACCCACAATCCAACAAACAAAGAATGGTTTCAGTAAAGTAAATTTCCTGCGATTATCATGCTCCTAATGAGTGCATTACAAATCCAATATACCTGTACTGGATTTGCCAATAATGTCCTAAGATATTAAACTGTGAGTGTATTTGTCTAATAAGCTTCTTAAGCACAGTCACGTTTCTCAGTTTCCTCTAGTTCTGAATATAAATTTTACACATGGCAGCATATTTGTGTCTTGAATTTCCTTTAACAGTAATTAATTCTTACTAGGAAAGTTGCTGTATTCCAGACTTAAAATAATGGAAATACAATGACAACATTACTGGTAATCTGATTGTAATAGCACTGTCTGGCCAGTTTTTATAAAATCAGTGGACTTTTCAGGAATACTAAATTGCTTCGATTGTCATTTTCAAGTGCTATAAAAATGGCTCAGCACACTGACAGGATTTTAAAAAACTTTCTGTTAAAAATCTCTATGTACAAAGAATTAAAAAAAATGAGAACATAAGGAAAAACTGAATTGTCTTAAAAAATCCTGTTTGATTGGCTCAGATGCAAGCTTTACATTACGTATTAGTCTGGTGTTTAATGAAACCTGTAACTCTTTCTCCTTTTAAACTTTCTTCATTTTTTTTTTTCTACACTTGCATATTTTAAAGGGTGCTGTAGCAACAGCCACTTTGATACTAGGCATTTGTTGGGTATTAAATACTGGTTTGCATTCACGGACCAAAGCAAATGCAGGAATGTCACCAACCTCCAGTAAGCAATTAATTTTCATGAAATGCCCTGTGTTTTAACAGTCATTGCTTAAAAACACTTCTTTTGCAATGAATGGCCCCATATATTTCACCATGACACTTCAGAAATTGATATCCCACTAGGACTGGATTAGATTTTTTATTATTATCTAGCTCTATTACAACACTCACTAATTGCTAGTTTTGAGATTGGTACAATCAATCACGCAATTTATATTCCCAGAAATTGTTTTAAATTGAGTATTTTTCCATTTTAAAAAATTTAAACTAACAAAGCACCTTCAGGGGTCACAATTGAACAGTCGAAATATTAATAGCTTGAGTATGTTTACACAAAAGCTTTTAAGTGTCACAAAGGGAAAAGCAGGCTTGTGCAGGTGTGATTTCCTGGTTGACTTAAGTAGATCTAAGGCTGCATTGTGGCTAAAAGAGCTTGTGCCATCCTTCCCTCCACCCTAGCCTGACAGTCCTGATACTTTCTTTGTGCTTATGGTTGTACACTGTAGTCTACTAGACCAATCTGTTGATCTAATCAGAGATGACAGGAAAAAATTACCCCTGTGGACACAGTGTGAAGACAGATCAGTATTTTATATATAAATTCCTACACACACATATATATATTTTTATGTATATATAAGCTATACATTAAAAAACGGATGTATATGGATAATCTACTTTTTCAGCTTCAGATAGCAGTAAACCTGCTATCACACTGTGTGTCAAGTTAAATGTTAGCTAATCATGAAACCGTACAACTAGTTGCATATCTAGCTGTGACTTCTGCTGGTTTGACTAACAGGAGAAGGGCACACACTCTTCTTAACGAAGTAACAATACACATGTGTTAGTTTGAAGTGTGTGCAGAAAAGCCAGTAAGAATACTGTAGCATCACCTCTCCTTTGTAACACATTACTGAAATTAGGCTCTGTTTGTCACTAAGACTTTTAAGATGGCTTTAAGGTCAAGGATGATGATGTACTAGGTTACCATAATAATGTTCTTAATACTGAGGTAATGTAAATGTAATATTTTACCAAGAGCATAAGATATCCAATGTATGTACTATCAGCTATATGAACATGTGTAGTACATTAATTCATCTGTATACCGAAGCTGTGAAGAGAAAAAAGAATGCTTTTTATGGTTTCATTTTGTGCCTGCTTTCCCAAGACGAACTCCTATCAGTCATGTCATATCCCTACCCATTCACAGAGCATTACAAAAAGCTGCCTGACTGTTTTCTTGATTTTACTCAAAAGAGAGCACTACCTTGCTTGGATTTGTACACAAGCATACTAACTTACACAAGCATTCCAACTACAAACTTTCAGTCTACTGCTCAGGGCAACCTCATTGGTCTCTATGGCTTCCTGAGGAGGGGAAGTGGAGAGGGAGGTGTTGATCTCTTTTCCCTGGTATCCAGTGACAGGTCACGTGGGAATGGCTCAAAGTTGCACCAGAGGAGGTTTAGACTCGTCATTAGGAAACATTTGTTTACCAGGAACATGGTCAAACACTGGAACGGGCTTCCTGCAGAGGAGGTCAACGTCCCAAGCCTGTCAGTGTTTAAGAGGCATTTGGACAATGCTGTTAAGAAAGAACATGCTTCAACTTTTGGTCAGCCCTGAAGTGTTCAGGCAGCTGGATTAGATGATCACGGTAGGTCCTTTCCAGCTGAATTGACCTGCCTCTACCTAACAGAGGAAACATCAAGAGAGACTTAGCAATAAAGACTCAGGGTACAGGGTTACAGGCAGCTGAACAACCCAATGCCTAAGGGCCTGCCCACTCCTCCCTTCCTGGTTCCTTCCTCACATTGTTCCCACATGTTCTTCTCCTGGCCCTCCTGCTCCTACCTGTTTACCTTAGTACAACTCCGATAACTGTCAGACCTTTCTGTGAACCTCTTAAACTCACTGATGGAGCATAAAACTATCCAAACTCTTAGTTTTTTACCATGTTAGAAAGTCAGAGTGAACCTCAGAGGGCCCCGACAAGCTCCAGAAGCAGCACAGTGGAAGCCAGGAGCAAGAAGGGAGGTGGGAACACATGACCCATCTGGTAGCTGTGTGCTGTTGAATCACTTCCTATGTCACATGAACACATGTGTTTCTGGTTGCAGTAGCACAAACAGCTGAGCTAACCAAACAGTTCACTGACACCAAAATCGGATTCTTCTTTTCCCCCTCCAGTTCCTCCCTCTTGAAACCATCCTCTCAAAAGGTATATCCAGCAAGGACAAAGAGTATGTTTAATTTGATTTGTTTCTTTTGATTCCTGGGATGAGGTAACTCCACTAAAGTAATGATGTTAGGAAAGGGAAATAACTGGCTGTGATATGGAATTCTAACATGGAGGCAAAGTAAAATCCTGGGTTGGACAGGGCCTTGATCAACCTGGTCTAGTGGGAGGTGTCCATGCCCATGGCAGGGGGTTTGGAACTAGATGATCTCAAGGTTCTTTCCAACTCAAACCATTCTATGATTCTGTGACTGACACCAGTGATTAAAGTGCCATAACTCTATATGTGCAAAACCAGACTGGAAGCAATGTTTTATATAGAAGTACTTCATCATCTATATGGACTTGCCCTGGATCATCTATGCTGTATTCCAGTTACAGGTAACAGTAATCTTACTATTACACTAAGTGCTGAGTTAAATATAAGAAATTATGGTTAGAAACATGCAGCTCAAAGAACAAGAATAGATCTCATGCAGGCATTTAAAACATTAACTGCAGTAACTCATTAACCACCTTCATTAAGAGATGAACCACTGTTAGATATATTTACCTCATGTATGTCTCTCATCCAGCTTGTTATACTTTGAAAACTGTCCAGATTTGTGATGTCATATACAAGAACAAAGCCTTGTGCGCCACGAAAATAGCTAGTACTAAGTGTATGGAATCGTTCCTGGCCAGCTGTATCCCTGAAAGAAATTGTAAGATATCACACACATACACAAACAAAACAAAGATGATCAAACTAGAGAACCCCAAGAAAAATCATTTTAAGGAGTATTCTCCAAATTTTGAATGGTGTACCCTAACATGAAAGGAACAAGAAAAGATAAGGATGAGAGAAAATCTGGGTGGTAGACAGAGCAGTGGAAGAAATACCCTGGAAATTTATTCTGAATAATACAGCCCTACTAGGGAAGGTAAACTAGTGGTTGAAGACTGAATGCAACACCATTGCTTCTTCATATACATAATCATTAAGATCAGTACAACTCAGGTGAGTGTAAGCACTCCAGGAGTCAGATGACATCCCACATTCTGACAAGCCCTTTGTAAACCATGAGACACAGACAGTAAGCTGGTTTAGCTGAAAGGTAGATTTTGGGAAAAAGACATAAAATACAGGGATGCAGAGATTCCTACACAGAATTAGGCCTTAAGAAAGCCGTAAACAAGCCTCCATGACTTTGGTGTTAAAACCTGAGAGGGAAAAACTGCAGATCTAATACTGGAAAGATAATTTGAGTAGAGTTACATCTTGAGAAGTTAAAATACTGGTGAATATAAATAACCTTCAGTACTGGGTGCCTGGAGAGATGGCTGTCAGTAGCTCTATATAGCTTTCACAAAAACTTCAAAACCAAAAAGCAGAGTTTAGGTTCCCAAAGAGTAATCTTACTAGCTTTCTTTTGGTGACCCTTTTGAACACGCATTTGATGGGTAATGAAATGTAAAATTTTCTTGCTTTGTCACTTCCCTCAGTATTCCTATACGATTAAATATACTTAGTATGGATCGTAGATCGTCATTGCTTGTATCCTGCAAGTTTTATTGTTAAAGCAACCTAGCAACAACCCTCTTTTTAACTTACATTAGTTACTGTAAAAAATACGCTCCCCTAGGCCAAATTCTAATTTTAAAATGACCTAGTAGGAACAGCTGCACTTTAGGAAGATAGATACACAATTAAAAGCAGATGAGATTTTTCATGCTGTAACGTAATTTAGTTGGCTCTCATTTGTAATACAAATTAAAACTTACCATATTTGAAGTTTCACTCTTGTATCATTAAACGTTACTGCCTTTACTTTAAAATCAATACCTAGAAGAAAGAAGAAAATCTGTAACACTTCTCATAACAACATGGATTCCCTTTGAAGATTGTTTCTTAGCTCTAGTTATCATGCAATTTTGAACAGAAAGTGAGAAGGAATTATATCAAACAGAATAACTAGCCAACCATAAACATTCAAAATTCAAGCTGTAAAAGGAAATTACTCAATGGTGAAAACAGCTATGTGCCAATACATTACACAAATACAATGCAAAGCAATGCCAATACAAAGCAATGGAGGGGCAAGTCAAAGCAAAGGTGCAGATACTCTGGAACTACATGTGGGTATTTCCATGAATAGGCAAGTGACACAACAGCAGTTTCATGGCCTATGCACAATAATACTGGACAGATATATTGATGATTTCAATTGTTTCCAGCGTCATCACAACAGTGTGTCAGCTATGAATGGGGAGGTAGAAATGCTTACAAAGCTGTTACATGTGCAATACCATTTCTCTGGCCTTACTTCCAAATCCCTAAAAAAAAAAATAAAGTATCTAGAATTACATGAACAGGAGTAGGAATTAGGTGTACTAGTTCAATGCAAAGTCAGACGCACACTGGATTTCATTCAAAATGAAAAGGATTGTCTCTACAGCCTTAATCACTGTATATCCTAGATCTAATGCTAAAATCAAGCATTAGCACTTGAAATCAGTGCAGAATGTTGTCTCTACATACACTACAGATCTTTCCTCAAAGATACTTTCCTTATAATTTATAGTGCTTGTACTCCAGATGTGGTAGATGATACCTGGATTTATGGTTTGTTGAAGCTCTAATCTTACTATTGGAATCTTCCAGCTATCAGCTGATGTCTTAGACTGACACATTTTCTCACAGTTAACCATTTTTTTCCCCAATTATTTTATTGCTGAAATTTGAAATCTTATTTGATAATTTCTCTGCTCACTTTTTTCCCTCCCAACAATAAGGCTATTTTTGCCAAGTATATTAAGTGAAGGTGACACTAGAATAACTCCCCGTACCACACAGTCAAAATTCCATAAAGTCAAAATACAGCTCCTTAACATGACTTCAGAGAGGCTTTTCACCAGTAGTAATGTCAATTGAAAGAACTAAACAGATAGAAAAAGTGCAAAAATTATAAGTTAATACCATTGCACTGATTTCTGTAACAACCTGTCTGCCAAATTATTTCATCAAAGGAAAGCATCCATGGCAGTAAACCAAAACTGCAGTAGAGGAAATGCTCCCTTCCTTTTTACCGACAGATGTACTGTGCACAAAACTTTGGCAAGTACACTGTCACATGCATGATTCCAATGCTATTAACATTTTTGTGTGTATGTGGTAAAGAGTTTATGTGGATTTTTAAAATTATTATGATAATCATGTCCTTCGCTTGATGAATTTTTATTGAAGCTCCAATGGAAAGGAAAGATGAAATAATATAATTGGTATCTGTAATTAATATTAAACAAAGGTTCCTTGATGGAATTAATAATGTCAGATGGAAATGTAATTTAAGTCAAATTTGCTCATGTAAGGTGGAATTCCAATGTGATGGAAACATTTGCTCCTGAAATTCACATGGTCTGTTTAATTATCTGTATCACTTCCTACAATTAATGTTAAAGCAGTTGAGAGGGACAGAGTATGCACTGGGAGGCTGAAATGTCACTTTCAAATGGTGCATTGGGAATACAGTAAGAAGTTACAATCCATCCAGGGATTCCCAGACCTATAGGAAACAATTCTTAGTTGACATACATTTTAATAATAAATTGCTATAAGCTTTTTTTTATTTATAAAAAGGGAAGCAGAGTGCTGAATCAGACTGAAACTTAATCTAAATTAAAATAAGGCTTATTGACTTCTTAAGTCAACTTCAAAATTTATTGACCTAAAAGGCCAATGAATGTTAGTGAAAAACAGAAGTCAATATGTTCTGCATGCATGAATTGTTCATGTCTTTATATGAAATTTCCAGCAAACTTAGCAAATTGGAAAGACAGAATAGAAAAATGAGAAATATAATGCCAAAGACAGCTCACAGATTTCTGATGCTTTTAAGCCCATGTATTACACAACATGATCAACAAAACAAAGCAAGCATTGATTATCGCTCTTGACATAGATGTTATTTGAAGGCAACAGCTTGTACTTGCTTCTTTTAAGCTATCAAACAAAACCAAGAAGGGGTAAGGTGGGTACAAGTTCAAATTCTAGTTGTTATTTCCAAGTCTACTAGCCATGAGATTAATTTCCTTTATTTATATTCCAAATAATATATACACCCATATTAGGACTAAAGCACCTTAAAAACGATTAAATCTAAAAAACATCAAAACAGTCGGTCACAGGGGAATTCAGCTGTGAATCACCCCTCTCTTCCCTCAGTATCTACAAAATAGTATTTGGCCAGCTGCAAAAGTCCTTCAAGAAGGACTTTTGCAGCTGGCCTAGAAAATCACAGCATGCTTTTCACCCCAATACAGCTGGCAAATTACTGACATAAAAGGCTCAAAAAATCTAGTATGTCTATCCAGTGAAAATGTGAGTTTGAGCAGCTTGGCAGGATGCAAAAGTGACAGCATGGACTGAGGGTGGTACATGCCCAGGTGCAGTTCTACCAAGACCACTTACTGTCATACAGCTGAAATCAGGACAGTCTTCAACTCTACAAGGAGGGAAGCAGTTGGCATTAACTCCTGCACCTGAGCTGGGCAAGCACCCAGAGAGACGTTGTGGGCTGGGTTTCTACCACATTAGGCCTACGGGTACTTAACCCTTACCAGCTATTCGTGCATTACTTGAATCACTTCTGTATGTGCCAAGGCATATCTGAGGCACAGTGGTATCTGAGCAGTACTGGTAATTACTCTTGTGGTGAGAAAAGCAATTCATGGGATAAGATGGTCTGTTAACAAAGTAAGAGTGACAAAAAATATAGCCTTGTAAAAAAATAACAAACAAAATTAAGATGCAGATTACTACTAGTGTTGTTAACCCAACAGGACATGCTTACCTTCAATAGGATTCATTTTTGTTGATTAACTCTACTTTATTTCCTTCTAAAGTGAGTATCAGGGAATCTACAGAGACTTCAGAGATGGTTCTCTTATTCATTGCACATTAGAGATGAATGCATAAATCGCTTGACTTTGTAACTTTGTTCTTAATAAATTGTTTAATTTTTTTAATATATGCATTAAAAAGCAAAAGTTTCCTTTTGAGGAAAAAGTCAAAATAATATTTATTTTTTTTAATCCTGAAGTGGGAGTTGCAGCACTTCCAACTATGACAGATTTGGGAGGACTCACACCTCTACAGAAATACTTCTCACAGAAAACATGCGTGTTGCAGGACCCCAGACACTGTAATACAGCAAAATAACCACCTCACATCCTATCAGATCACAGTCCTGCTCACTTGCATACAAATGGGGTTTTTTTTGTTCATAAACTTCCTCTACGGCTTTATATGCAATGCCATTGTTTAAACAAAAACATTTATTCTTTATAGTCTGCTCATAATACAATGCATTTGCCTTATGATGCATATAAGTTTAATTAGAAAACTGTATCTGCTTATAATTTACCCAAACTGTGTAATTGCAGCAGAGGAAGGGCACCCGGCCTTGAGTGTTTCAGTGCTGCATAAGAAGCTTTCAATGAAAATTTGCTGTGGAGGCCTTTTTGGGTTTTTTTCTTAACTACAAAATACATCATTTTATAAAAGTCCACCACTATAGAAGCCTACTACAAAATATTTGCTTGGGTTTGGGTTTTTTCCCCCCTGCAATAACGCTAGTATTTTTCCCAGTAACACAAACCTGATTCATGATGAGACAGAAAGGAGACTTCCAATAACCTTTTAACTTCTGTGCCTGCCACCCTTTGCCACGAAGGAAGGTGATGGCACACGATTTTGTCAGGGAACTCAGATGGCTGTGAGACTGCACAGCCTAGATAATCTTCCCTGTACTCCAATCACCATTTCAGCTGGACAGGTAGGGTGAAAAATCAATTAGCATCAGATGAACTGCATCAACAGGCTGCATGAGAGATAGGGATCACATGACTGAGCCTGTATGAAATAAACGGGCATCCAGACGAAATCAGTTATTTGTTTTGATGCAGTCAATGCAGAGGGAGAAGATATCATGAAGAGAAAAACTACTGCATTGTGTCTTTACACCGTTATGAGCCACAACCTATAGGCCATGCTCTCAGTTGTAGCTGTCTGCATGAAAAAGGAACTTCCAATATTACTCTTTTGGAAGCCACCACTCACAGTCCCATTTGCTTTAGAAGTTTAAGCTCTAACATACCACTTGAGATGGAATTAAATAGAACACGGTACTTCAGAAATAACTTTATAATCACATTCAGGTTAAAAATACCACATTTGGATGATTCATTTACATTTCAGTTAAACATTTGCTTAAAAAGTTTTTAAATCTCACAAGAATAAGTTTCAGGAACAGTAACAAAATTAATAAGGTTAATAATTAAGTCCAGAACTGTCACAAAGCTCTTCTATCCAAACTATTCCTTAAACTATTTCAACCCACAACTTGGAAAATCTATTTTTAATATCGCCACCACACAAGAGTTTTTGACTCTGCAGTGGGCTGAATTAAGAGTAAATGAAATTGTGTCTCAAAATAATAACTTCATGGTCAGGAATCTATGTTCTGATATAAAACACATCAACAAAGCTGATGTTTATTTTCATGGCCATTCTTTGGTACTCCTTGCTAAGGCTGGTAACAAGCTGCCTGTTATAAGGATCAATTTCATTACTGTAATGCTAGTTGAGTTCTTCCTTTTTTGTTTGTGTTGGCTTCAGAAGCTGCTTCGCAAGAATGGGCAAGAAAATACAAAGTGGTTTAATTTTAGCCGTTCTAATGTGGGCAGGTCAAGTCACCTTACTTACATTAAGTATTCTCTGGACCAACTACTACTTGTTATTTATTCAGTTAAACCAACTCGTCCTACACTGACAAAAATAAAAAGGAACATATTCCAAATGCAGGAACACACCATTTCTTGTGCATACTTCAACTTCCTCTTCAAGAGCACGGGGGGGGAATCTTACAGACAAACTTTTAGAAATGAAAATTTCCCAACCAGAAATGGAGGAAAATCACTGTCCCTGGAAATGTTCAAAAACAGTGTAGATGAGGCCCTCAGTGATAAGGTTTAGTGGTGGTCTTGGCAGGCCCGGGGTAATACGTGGCAGTTAGACTTGCTGATCTTAAAGGTCTTTTCCAACCTAGGCGATTCTATGATTCTGTGAAAATCTCCACAGCAAATCAAACCACTGCACCCACATTACATGTTTCCACCATACGTATAGTCAACTTGCCATTCCCTGTGGCACCACGCGCTGGCATACCATGACACTGCGGAGCTCCCCATGATCCCCCATCTGCAGAAGTGCCTGGAAAGGCAGCACAGTGGGGCAGCACAAAAATACCTTGGTCTGGCAGGGCTAATGATGGCCATCACAGCAATGGACCTGCTTTAATAATCACATACATGGCTACCCACAGTAGAATATATCTTGATTTTATAACTTTAGAATTATTAGCACAAAGTTAAACGCCTTTCTGGTATGAAAGATGGAGGAACTGGGCATTGTACTGATGTCTAGCAACTCTGTAAGGTAGACATCGTTTTCTCTGCACCCAGACTGGTGTATAGCAATAGAGCCTGTCTGCAGTCGTGGACTGTTAAGAAGTAAGAAACAAGTTGCTGTCGTAACTTTAAATAGAAGAGTAGGTTCCGAATGCCCTAGACAAACGGCCGGCACACAACGGTTCTGGAGCCGGGGCGACACGCTTCCTGACACCCTGTCAAACCTCTGCAAAGGCCGCCCCTCTTCCTGACACCTTGTCAAACCTCTGTAAAGGTTTACGCCGCCAGACGTGCCTGGACACAGGCAACAGGTTCACTGAGGGAGACCGGACACCTCCGACGCAGGCAGCGCCGGGCAGGCTGTGTTTGGAACGGCCCGCGGCCGTGAGGCGCGCCCGGGGAGGGAAACGCTGAGGAGAGGGCGGGCGCGAAGTG